TGTGTTTCTGTAATGAGTCAATATTCCATTGGAAGCCACTGACATCAAGACGAGGAACCTCCTGACCGTGAATGAAGGGTTTCACCCCAAGTCCAGCCCCCCGAGGCTGCTGGACTCCAGCAGATCCCAGAAACAACGTCGGAGATCTCTGTCCAGAAGAGCGCAGTCCTGGGAACAGCTAAGATACTGCAGGACCCTCAAGCTCCCAGGCCTCTGGTAGAGGAGCTTGAAGGATAGACCGCCCACAGGGGCGAGAGGGGAGTGATCACGTTTTTATATACATATGTCTTTGACATCTTATTTTTCTAATGAAGTGGTTTGTTTCCTTGAAAGTAAAACTCATATTAAAAGGATGCATTAATAGGAACTGACAGGTAGAGTGGTGAAGCATATGATCCTTGTTGTTGTCCAACCCAGATGTAGGTTTAAAACCAAAGCAATCCCAAATGTGCAGCGTGTCCTGGGAAGTTGGTGATGAGCAAAGATCGCATTTGGCCAAAACACTCTATATTCAGCGCGATTCTTACACCCACTAAAAACAGATACAAAAAGCCTGATTTGTTTTTTCATTTAGAAAAAGACAAACGGAGCGAGGCGATCTTTGGTGCTGTTAGCTGCAGTGGGGTCTGGTTCTCCTGTTCTTCTGTTTTTTAACCTGCTTTTTTATTTCACCTCAGTGCCACAGTTGTCCCTCCAGCACTGACACTGTTCATGAGATATTTAAAATGTGATTGAGATGAAAAGCGGCTCGCAGCTTAAAGAACAGCTGTGTGTAATGTGCTCTTCATGTGTTTCATCTCCCTACCTCTCTCTCTCATACACACGCTCGTCCACAAACACATATTCGGCAGCACGATGTCCTGCTGAGTGTACTGTTGAGTGAAAGCTAAAATGACATGATTGCACACATTTTCTCTTTAAAATTTTTTTGCTTTGCTGTTTTCTCATTTTGGAAGCTCTGATCCATTCTCATTTTTCCTGTCCTGTCCAGTAGCTGTAACCGAAGGTGGGTTTTTTTAACCATGGCCCTTTCACAATCAACACACCGGCAGTTGCACAGAGCATGCACATACACACAGCTCTCTCACAGTAGAAAAGCACTACAGATTGAAGTGGTAAGTACTGCCATGGTGAGGCTGACAGCAGCCCCTAGAGAGCTCATCAAAATGTTTCAGGCCGCATGCAAAAAATAGCAAATTAATGCAAGTGAAGGGCTTCTGCCTACAGGAGCATTGCCCTCATTTTAGAAATACCATTTTTCCCCCCTGAGTCTTTTATGATGAGTTCAGAGTGTTATGATTTCCCTCAAACTCCTCAGATCTACCCATCTAGGAAAATAGGTGTCAAAATACTCATGCAATTATTTTGCATGTTGATGTTGTTGAAGGGCTCAAACAGTGTCCTGAATTGTAAACTGCATTGTAACAAACTACTGCAAATAATGTGGTAAACTATGTTACCGTGGTATCTAATAATGTTATTGTTTTTTAACAAACGGACAAATGATCACTAACATTTGTTTCCAGTGTTCTGATGCAGTCCTGTCAGCCTCGCATGCTGTGACTGGAGAATACAATTAACCAAAACTCACTCTGTCACTTTATGTTATGCATTGTCACGCTGTGCGATGTTGTTCCACATCTGTCATTATCTTAGAGCTTACTAAGGTAGGACAGCTCTGGAGGTAGAGCAGACGTCTCCCAACTGAA